CACTCCTGGTTTTAGTCAACAGCCTTGGATTACACATGGTACCCCCCCTAAAAAGTAAAGTGCATGAGATTAGTAATGATGCAGATACAGCAAACCTTATTTCTGAGTAAAAAGACTATATATATGCCAAATGGTTACAACTGTTGGTTATCAGATAAATAGGGTACTTACCCCAAAATAAAAACTAAATCCCACCTTTTATAAAGGAGTTGAGATGAAAACAGAAACACAAATTTCATCAATTCTCACAACATTCCTTTAAAAGTGAATCAGTAGTTTAAAGCCTTATTTCCAGCACTGAGAAGACAGAGGAGTTTAAAGAGTTTAAAAAGTATGTATTTATATGATGAAGTGAGTAAAATGGTGTGGGACTCAGCATGGACAAAGCCTACTAATTACTTTGAATTTCAGTTACCTTCTCTCCCAGGAGCCAAAACGGCTTAACAGCTAAAGTATCCAACAGAGGAAAGAGTCTGATGAAAACATTCCAAATTCAGAAGTGACTTAAAATGGAGGGAAAGGAATTTGAGCCCTGAGGTGAGTCAACCAAGTCTAGGAATCAAGATTACTATTTATGCAATCTAGCTTCATAGATTGTACTAGTACAAAAGTGTTTCTCTATATGCCAACTAGTTCCAAATTTTTACCTTCAATTACTATAGGAACAAGTTTGGCTTCAAACCAAACTCCACTGCCTCTCTGGGCTTTGTCTGACACCATCATTCCAAAGGGACAAGTACGAATTTTCACTGTTGCTCTCTCCATAACTTCTGAAAAAGGAATTTTGAAAATTAAATACTGATGAATAATTAATGCTTCCATTATTAATCAACAAAGTCTGAGAAAATCATGCTCAAGAATTAACAGTTTAAGCTAGAAGAATTTTAGTAACTTTATTAAACACAACTGTATTTAATGAATCATTATTTAGATCAAAGTCCTCAATACAGGGGCAAAACAGCACTTTCGCACACCATGACGAAATGCCTGAAAGTGCACCAAGCTGACTAAAGATCAAAACAGGACTCTGCTAAGTGCGAAACTTAGCAGAGGTGAAGAACTAAAGCAGCAACGTGAAGGAAGACATGAGAAAGCCCAGTCTCTCTGGGTGGTCAATGTGTATACACAAGGAGAAACATATCTGTAAAGTCTGCTCAGCCTGATCATCAACACTGAAAGGACTACCTGGTCAATGAGAATTTAATACTACATTTTTCTACTAAATTATCACTCTCAAAAATCAGTCATTTCTAACCTCAAGGGTGTTAATGGATTTATACTTTATAATACTTAATGTCAAACCAGTGCATAACAAGCTGGATCTTATTCATTGACACCCTAATTTTTAATGGGGAGGGGTTTTAACTAGCTGAGAGCCATGATACTTCAAGTTCTAGAATCCAATTACTATGTTTCCACACCTGTGGATTTTAAGCTAAGCTTGTCTTTTAACAACTTGTTAAAGTCTGTATCATTCAGGTTCATATCAGCATCTCACTTAGTTTTTGATTTCCTGGGAAAATTTTGTCCTGCCAAGTCACTGCAGTCACGTAAGAGAAATAAATGGGCTTGTACACATCTTCTCTCAACCCAAACCTAGAAACTGGGTGTCACCACCCATATGGTTCCTGTCTAGTCATCATACCTCAAATGAAAATGAGAAAGGAGAGTAGAGAATAAGGGAATGAATAAGCCTAACATCACCCAGTGGGAACACTGAAGGACCTAACCTTCTATAACTAACAAGGGCTGGTTTATTTGGTGATGCAGAATGAGAGTAACCCCTAGACTACATTAAAAGATGTCCAAGGAGAAAGGGGAAGATACATGTAACTAGAAGGAAGGAAAAAAGCCTAGACTGCAAATACAGAAACTAAAAGGCTAATTGCCCTGATAAGACTTTAACCCCTTGCTCAGCCTCAGGGGGTGGGGTGGGAGGGTGTAGACAAGTGGGTGACAACCCTCCCAACTCAGATCTTCAAAGGTGAACAATGATGGGTCCCTGCGAATTTCTTGGGTATCATCCCCAAGAGCTCCGGCTACATGACCCTGGCCAGCCTCTCTGTGCAAAAAGACAATGGATCCTTTGAGTCAACTGAAAAGGAAGCCCTGGGAGATGGGATCTATTGAAAATAGGCCAAAGGACACAGCACTTCTCTAATCTAAGGAAAAAGGGATAACCTCCCAAGGGAAAAGAAGAGATTGGCTCAAATATTGACTCTCTTGGGGTGGGCAGGACAGAACACTCATAAATGACCTTCAGAAATCAAAGGTGACACAAAGAGCCAATAATCATTCTGCATACCAATGTAATAAGCCCTTCTTATCAGATCTTCAGACTAAAAGTGCCTGAGAAAACAACTGGGATACCATTAGACAATATTTTCCTCTACCTTTGAAGACCAGTGTCCTTACCTCATTGACTTTTAGCTACCACTTTAGTCAATATCACTCTTGGTCAACTCTGAACCTTAGCTTGAGCTAATATATATACATGTTAATGTATGAAGAGCAATGTCATCATTTTTAGTCAATGTAAAGTAGGAACAGTCTGCTAGCTTAAGAAAGTCCATATATCTATCATTCCAGGAACAATCATTCTAATGAAATACAGACTGAAGTTTGGCCCCTGAAATGAAGTTGCAATCAGCAATTCACATACTTACTCAAGCACATTATCTATTACTGGGAAGCAATAAGGACAAGCTTCAGGGACTTCAGTCTAAATAAAGTGATGTTTATACTGGCAATAATAAACAATCCTAATGAATATGCTAATAGTCATTCCATATTTACAGACATTAGTACTCTAAACTTGACCTACTGCTATATACACACAAATAGACACAAGATGATAGATTTTATGTATCTTACTAAGACAACAGAGAAGTGGGGTGACCCTAATACTCCAAACTATTAGGACTCAATGTTAAATAAAGGAGGGGTCCTCATAAACACCTCTTATTCATTTGCGCAGTATACAGAAGAAATAGGAAGGCTGCCCAGCCAGTATGTCAATTCTCACAGCTGAATTAACACACCAATGTGTTCAGGATCAAAGAAAATTTTAATTCCTACAATTAATGTCAATTTGAAAAAAAAATCAAGATCCTATTGTGTTCTCAAATACTAAAAAGATTCTCTCAAAGGGAAAATAGTTCCTTTGAGAAAATAGGACAAAACATGGACAGACCATTTGTTTGGGCATTTCTGGACAAACCATTAATCCAGATTTGGAGACCTGGTTACTGTTCCTCCCAAATAGACTTTGTAACATTGTACATGTCACAGCCTCAACCTCCTTACAAGAAAAGGATAGTCTCGATTTGGCCCCACGTTATAACCTCAAGAATGAAATTCAGAAAAAACTTCTACAAGGCACTCTAAGCTCTTCAGAAATACATGCTATTCACATGAGTAAATTCCTCATCTATAGACTCAGTCCATCAGGAAGCCTCCTGAAGATGGGAAGAAAGACATTATGCTACCTAATAATTTCTAAAATCAACTTTGGACAAGTGAGCCCACCATAATGAAATTAGTTTATAGATTACAAAAAATTTAAAGTCATCAGGACTGAGTATTGATTCAAAATCTACAAAATGTCTATAAAATTAATCTTCCCTAAATACAAGCTTAGTAAAATCATGCAATTTAAAAAGTATCAGAGACTAAAAGTCAAAAAAAGAAAGTAGATACATACACAATTTGCTTCCTTCATCTTTTATGGAGGACAAAGGACAATGCTGAGCACACAGGGACGCAGAACTACACAATCTGCAGAGTTTTTCTCTAACGTCTTTTGTACCCTTGTGCTCACAATGAAGAAACCACCTGTAACTGGGTCCCAAGCCATGTCATGACACAGGGCCCTATAATTACACAGTCCTGTTGTCCTCTCCAAGAGACACACAAATAACCCGGAAGTTCTTGTTCTTGGCACCTCTCAAACATGCTATCCATCCTACAGAAAAACTATATTCACAATCTTCCCATAGCAAAGTGCGCACTGAGTTCTGATACTGATGGCCAATTTGTACTAAAACATCTTCCTGCTCAAAAAAGTACAGACTGTGTACAGATGGCAAGTCCTAATAACATCAGAATTTAATTTTCCCTCTAAAAACTCAACCTCAAAATCATGATCTAATCAAGCAGAGCAACCTGGCGCACAAAGACCGTGTCAATTTTTCTCTAGGTTTCTGGGCGTATCTTCCAGCTGGATCCACTTGGGAAAGTATTTGGCTAATTTCACCAAATAACAAGAACAAAGCTAGAAAATTAGTGGATATGACTTGTTTACCATAAGTTAATCAAACACTGCTTAGAGGCTGGTAATTCCCAAACGATATGAACAATGTGATTGACTAATATGGGTACCACCAGCAAGATCATTCATCTCCCTGTGATCACTTAACAGTACAATCACAATGTCACTTCACAAACTTGGTGGCCATTTGAATGTGGTTGACTTAAACTTCAAAGTAGGAAAAATAAAAGGAACTGGAACAAAGTTTTTTTCCCCAACATTCCATATACTGTTGGTATAAAAATACCTACAGGAAACATTCTTTCTTTTGGCAACCAGAATCCACAGGCTCATGCTAACAAAATGAACCCAGCAAACTAACTTGTCTTGAAATGAGTATCACATACACACATTAGTTAAGATTTTCGGTATGCAATTCACTGTTCAATGTATAAGAATTCAGGTGTGTGTGTGTGTGTGTTTTAATGGTAGTAGGAATTACAGAGACAAGAGGAAAAAAACTTAGAAATGAGTGAATCTACTACTTTATGATAAGCTCTGCCAAGACTTGGCAGTACGGACAGTATACCTTAATTCATGATATCTTAACATATATTCTGCTCTAAGTGCTCTATGAGAATAACTGGTCTCTCCTTACTTTGGTATGCAAAATTTTAAACCACATTTGCACAATTCAGTCTGTTAAGTTTGCTTCATTTAAGTTGAAGGTACTTTACTTTCATCCATAGATGATTTTTTGCTAAGTAACTTTTGGCTAAAACCTACAGCGTAAACAATGCCTGAGAGATGCAACAGTTACATAACTTTTTTCCAAAGACCAGCATTTTTTTAAGTTAGTGTCTCACCATATCCTTAAGTTCATAAGGAGAAATAGACAAACATGAAAATTCCAAGTGAACACACAGCAAAAAGTCCAATATTTAGTATTAGTTTAACTTGTGGAGTCTCTTCCAACATTTGTAAACAAACGGCCTCCTCTTCCATCAGGTCTCTGAGACTCCTCTTGCTGAGGCTCTTACTTTTAAAGCCACAAAACCAGTCAATGAACTTCCAGTACCGGCCCACATCCTCTGTTTCCTTTTTTCTCTCTTTCTCACCCATGAGAGCAGCTTGCCCGTTGGAGTAAGCATCTACTGGTGTTTCTGCCTCTGAATGGCCTAAGGAAGGCACCAGGTTACCCTCTTCTCTGCAGGTCACCAACAGATTAACATCTTCAGGTTGTAGGCCCTTAATGCTATCTTCAGATTTCCCATTAGGAATGACATGGTTGATGGCCTCACTGTTCTCACTGCATCTCAGAATACTCTTCTCTTGCATTTTGTATGGTTCATCTTTTGGGGAACAGCTCTCCTTCACCACCAGGCTCTTCTTAGACCAAAAGGTGGTGGTACGAATCTGTTCCTTTGTGGGAGGTGGTGTGAGAAGGCTAACAATTACAGTAATGAGTCCTGTGACCCAAAACAATGCTGTGGCCACATACATATAATGTATATCTTTGATGAAGCCTGGCCTGTTATCAGGTTGGTCACACTCTGGGGCACGGTAGGCAAAAGCCAGTATCAAACGGACTGCTCCAAGAACAAAGCCAGCCATTCCACCATAGAAAGCCCCTTGTTCATTGCAGCGCTTCCAGAAAATTGCCAGAAGGAACAGGGCTGCTACTGGGGGTGTCAGGTAATCTGCTACCTCCTGAATGTAAAGGTACATCTGGCCACCTTGCATCTCCACGATGATTGGCACCCAAGCTATGCTGATCACCACCATAAAAGCCACAAATATCCTCCCCACAATCATTAGCTCCCGGGAGCTTGCACTCTTGCGGATGAGTTTGTACACATCAAGGGTGAATATGGTACTGGCACTGTTAAAGATAGAGTCCAAGTCACTCATCAGAGCTGCAATCATCACTGCCATCATTAAGCCCCGAAGACCCACAGGAACCAGCTTCATCACCAGGCGCGGGTATGCAATATTGGAGCACCCAGCTCTGCTTCCACACACTTGCATGCAGTGCTCTGGGTTGATGCAAGCTATGTCATCAGCAAACAGTATCCTGGAAATCATTCCTGGGACAACTATGATAAACATCGGCAGAAGTTTCAAGAAGCCAGCCATAAGAGTAGAACCTTTGGCATGAGCAATGTTTTTGGCTGCTAGGACCCTCTGCACGATGACTTGGTCAGCACACCAGTACCATACTGAGGCCGGAGTCTGCCCAAGAATGAATCCAGGCCAAGGAACATCTTCATCTGTTGGATTCCGCAGCATTTTCAGGGCTTCTTTCTTAGGGTAGACATTACAAGAATTTGTGTTGGAAAGGTTGTATGTCAGCAAGATGGAAGTGACATTGGGTGAGGCCAACATATACCTTCGTTTAACTTCCTCAAACCCGCCAATCTCCATCATGCTAATAATCATGAGCGTAAGTGCCCCAACGATCATGAGCAGAGCCTGCAGAGTGTCTGTGTAGATCACTGCAACAAGGCCTCCGGTGACAGTCAGCAAAGCAGTCATGCCAATGAGCAGGATGACTGACACATAAAGATTCCAACCCAAAGACTCCTGGATAAACAGGGCACCTGAATACAGATCCACTGAAAGCTTGGTGAAGATATAGAGAATCAGAGACAAGGCGGCAAAATAGACCTGAATCCTATGGCCACCAAATCGCTTGGACAAGTATTCAGGCATGGTGTATACCCCTGAACGGATGTAAATTGGGATGAATACCCATCCCAGAAGTTGCAAAAGCAGTAAGGCATTGAATTCCCATGCGCCCACTGCAAATCCACTTGCAGCTCCAGATCCTGCCAGCCCAATGAAGTGCTCACTCCCAATATTGCTTACAAACAGAGAGGCACCAATTGCTACCCAGGTCATAGAGCGCCCCGCCAGGAAGTATCCGCTCACAGTGCTTCTATTAGATTTCCACATGGCAAAAAAACCAATGCACATGACCAGGATAAAATACAGGGCCACTATGGCAATGTCTGCTGTCTCCAGTACAGCCCTCATTCTGGTAACTTGTGAATAAAAGCGTCCAATGACAGAAGTGTCCGACTTTTTATTTACTTTTTAGCAACCCCGCCAAGTCTGTAAACCATACGTGAACTGGACTACACAGAGTAACACAGCAGGTCAAAGTCTTTGTCCTTTGGTTTGCTGTCTTGATGGTGGTGGTTGTGATAAACTTTGAAGGAGACAGTTTAAATTTTCCGCTTCTTAATTGGGATTGAGAACTTAGCTCGTACTCTTAATCCACTCTCCACAAGACCATCAGCATTTACTCAGGTGCTGGAGGAGAAATTCTGAGTTGCAGCTAAGTCTAGTGAAGCCTACTGTACCAACCCTGCAAGGCAGCAAAGACAAAAGACAAAGATTGAATTAGAGGAGGGTCTCACCACGCGATGAGGAAACTTTCTAGCAAACAGTCTAGCAAATGCAGCGCAACAAGACATTCTTTATAAAAAGAAACAAAAAACTTTTACAGTACACTTCGGTTCCACAACAAAGAGCAATCTATACTATTGTATGTAGCTGGTACTTTAAGTCAGTGAGAACATTTATCATTTTGAACTAAGGACAAAAATTTATGAACCTAATGGCAGTAGCCTAACTGTAGCAACTGGCTACCATGACATTACCCTTTCTTATCTCACTATGCTTGTCTCAGATTGGAGCAGGCTGTTAAGATCTTAAAGCACCCTAAAAGGCAGAAAACACTGTACATGATAAAAGCATAAAAATGAATCTTTGGATACTAAGAATCCCAACAGAGTTTGGGACTAACTCTTTTGGCCATTTATAGTCCTGGATGAACAGGCAGGTGGTGTTTTACTAGGTATTAACATCTACCCTCAGACACCACATATGGCTCAGTCTGTGGAAATCTATTGTTATAAACCTCTACTAAACTCCTTCTGTAAACATCTACAGCTACCATATAGTAATTAGAACCTGTGAGATGCATTCTGCAAAACAAACTAGAAACATATAACTTACAGCTCTATTAAAAAGCTTCACTCTTGGTGCTACTAAAAAAACCCAAAAAACAAAAAACTTTTTAAAAGGTAATCTCCTTCCCTTCCTTTTTATCAGGTAGTATTTCTAAGAACCTCCAAGAGGATAAAGGCACTGACTCAAAGTTTGATTTCATGGAGTATTTTTTCCTCTTTTTTGTTGAAAGATATAGGCAGGGGGGAGGAGAAGTTTTCTGGAAAACTGAAAAATAATATTATGTCTTCCACACCAAAAAGAAGACAATTGTTGACCATTAGCTTAAAAAAAAAAAAAAAAAAAAAACTTCAGTAAACCAATCAGATATTTTTCAGTCCTGGATAATCACTCTGCAAAACAAACATTTACTTAAATTTATTAATCTGATGGTTCTTCTCTTAGAAAAAAAGGACAAATTCTAAATCTCAGACATTAATTGAAACTGCAGCTAACAGATCAGTATGAAAAACATTTTTATTCAACCTAATCCCTTCCACATGGTAACTTCTCTAAGCAATGTCTCCTTTTGCAATTAGGCAACCTCAGAGAGTAAAATGTCTTTTCCATGCTTAAAAAAAGCAGTTGCTTTCTGATAAATCTAGGCATTTTCCTTTTAAAATCAGCAGTAAACTTAAGTTCTATATGATACTAAACCCACCTCTTTTCTAAACTGTTCAAAATAGATTGCAGTACTAAAAATTTTTAAAGCATTTTTCTCATTGGCAAGAAAAGAAGCTGGACATAATGCCTAAATACTAACGCCCTCCCAAATGAGGTTATTAGGTCTTAACTTATAAAGCTGCCTGGTTAGAAATGACCTAACCTCCTCTTTATGCCTTTTTAAAGCATAAAGCACTACATAAGTATGCTAAATAAACTAACTAGTATCTTTCCTCTTTCATTTTTTCCTAAAAAACATCAAGGAGTGGCATAAATAAAATTGTTAAGACAAAAGCAAAAAACACAGAAAGAGTTGAAATTTCTATCACTTTATATGCCAAACCCTTAAGTTGGTCTTATTTCTATGACCACCGTCCCCACTCCCAAAACTTAATTTGGATTTTTTGTTTGGTTTTTGAGATAAGATCTTGCCCAGTCTGGAGTGCAGTGCCATCATCACAGCTCACTGCAACCTCAAACTCCTGGGCTTAAGCCATTTTCCTGCCTCAGCCTCCCAAGTAGCTGGGACCACAGGTATGTGCCACCAGGCCCGGCTAATTTTTGTATTTTTTATAGAGACGAGGTCTCACTCTTGTTCAGGCTGGTCTGGAACTCCTGGCCTCAAGCAATCCTACCTCAGCCTCCCCAGGGATTATAGGTTTGGCCACAGTAGCTCACCAAAAAAGCTTAAGTTTTTAAAAAAAAAAAAAAATACCTTGACATTATTTATAAGGAATCACCTAAATTATTAATGAAATCTTATCAGATTGACTATTAAGCATTAATTATTTAAAAGGGTGCCTTGAGATGTTTCAGAATAAGAGAAGCTCAATTACAATGAAATTGCTTCTGGCAGTTCAGAAGCCCTGCCTTCCACAGAGCTCTCCCCGCCACCTGACATCCAAGCCACACTCACAACTACCGTTTCAGTTTCCACAGAGAAGCCTCCTGGCTCACCCATCAGAAGGCGTCACTCTTCTCAACAGCATAGCTTACCAGGTTGCCCAAAGAAAGGAGAGAAACACCCGAGGTGTTTTGTTTTCGTTTAGTGGGAAGCAGAGTGGGTTTTACGTCACAGTGGCTGCTGCAGCAGCTTATTTTTTCAGCGTACAAAGTGCTCAGAAATACAACAAGCGCTTCCTTCCTCAATCCCTAGGAAACACTACTCTTATCATCAATTACATTGCTTCTCATTGTCAAATACATTTACAAAGCAGGTATCCAAGCCACATTCTGCTCCCTGTTGAATGTTCAAACTGGTTGCAATTCCCATGGGACACCTAACCCCTAGTTTCTCAACAAGAGCAGGTAAACGAGAAAAGATGTTCTGCCCACAGGAGATGCAGTACAGAGCAGCCAGACAGGAGCTCAAGGCTGAGTTCTCAACTACTCACTGGGTATTATACCAGTCTGTGGGTAGGTTTTTAGATTTTTCCAACTTAAACAAAATATATCCAGAGACCAGCACCTAGTAAAAAGTAAAAAAGGAAAAACAAAATAAAGCCAAAAATAGATCAGTTTAGTTTGTAGAAAGATACAAAAATACTATAATACAATGCAGCTGAATTTCAAAATTGTCACAGCCTTGAATTTCAGCCTCTCTGGAAATAAATTATACATTCCTTATAAATGGTTCCAAATAAAACAAACAATATAAGCAGTATACATTTTTTTTGTTTTAAAGATGTATAAGCATTCCCAACAAACCAGAGTTCCTTTATGTTTAGGAAGAATACACATTAAAAAAAATCTTTTCTTCAGCTAACATGAAGCTTTTTAACTTATATTTTTAAATTTATGCATGCTTTTTTTATGGTTCAAGGTTCAAGTTAACATCAAGTGAGAAATGTGGGACAAGTAATAAAATAGGTATAGTTACGAAGTTATGTCTGTTGGTTCCTTGGTAGAGCGTTTTTTAAAAAAGAAAACGTATTTCTATAATAAGAGTAATACTTGTACAATTCATATGGAAATGGTCACCTGGGTCAAATGGTCACCGGATTTAGACAAACCTCACATACAGAGGATGCTTTGAAACAGAGCAGATCTCCAACCCCCATAAAAGATGACATCCTTTCAGAAAGTAATGCTTTACCAATAGCTTTGCATAGAATTAGAACGCAATTTTGGTATTATTTCATGTATTTAGAGAAACTAAATTACAAAATGAAGAATTACAATAGAGAAGTATACATAAATATTTGATCAACTAGAAAGAGGAAAGAAGAACAAAATTTAAACCAGCTAATTAAACTCCTTCAGGTAACAGAAAACTTATTAACCAAGATATTATTAGTTATAATGAACAAATCTCTCTTCTACTATCTAGTGCAACCATATAATTTATCTTCCAAACCATGAAATTACTCTGAACAATCTGTAAAAGCCAGGACATACGTATTACCAAAAAAAAAAAAAAAAGAAAGAAAGAAATAGCAGGGAACAATGAAAATGATCCTTGTTACCTAGCCAGGTCTCCAAGTCATAATAAATTCAGTAATACCTATAGGCTAATAAAAAAAAGCAGAATACAGTAACCCTATAAGTGACCACACCTCTTTAGCTATAGAGTCAATTTACAAACACACATTCTATGGGACACTGGAACAGGCCCAGCACAGCAGTCTGTCAATGATGGGCTTGAGGAGTCCTACTCATATTCTAATTCAAATAAAAAATATTCACTTTACCAGTTAGTAATTTAACCTGCCTGAATTATAATATTAGGCTGTTGGTAAGTGTGTTAACCTATCCAACACAAGAAACAACATAGTCATATTTAAAACTTGTCTTCTCCCCACCCTAACTGCCCTCCCCCCTCAATATCACCAGATTTCAGGAGTCTTGGGAAGGGGGATGCAGGCAGCACAGTACAGCAGGAAGCACCTGAGCTCTCAAGGGCTGGATTTTATGCTCTACCCTTTCACTTCTTAACTTCAAGATCTCAGGCAAACTTATCTCCAGGAGCCTCAACTGTCTTGTCTGTAATATGAAACCACCTCTCCTAATGGTTTAGAGTAAGGAATAAGTAACAGAAAAGGCTCCTGTTGCCTGTACAACACGAAGGTGGTTCAGTAAATGTCAGTTCACTCTCCACTGCCAGAATGTACCAGAAGTGATGTTACTAGCTCCTTCCAAATGAAACTGCCAACTTTGTGCCAGGCACATGAGGATCTTGACAAAAGTTATTTATGTGTAAAAAATTAGATAAAGTGGGCTCGGTACCTGTAGCACGGTGGTTACAGCACCAGCCACATATACCAAGGGTGGAGGGTTCAAACCCAGCCCAGGCCAGCTAAATAGTAGCTAAACAACTGCAACAAAAAAATAACCAGTGGCAGCGCCTGTGGCTCAAAGGAGTAGGGTGCTGGCCTCATATGCCAGAGGTGGCGGGTTCAAATCCAGCCCAAAAATTGCAAAAAAAATTTTTACTGACCAAAAATTGCAAAAAAAATAATAATAATAATAATAACCAGGCATTGTGTCAGGCCCCTGTAGTCCCAGCTACTTGGGAGGCTGAGGCAAGAGAATTGCTTAAGCCCAAGAGTTTGAGGTTTTTGTGAGCTGTGGCCACAGCAGCACTCTACCGAAGGGCAACACAGTGAGACTCTGTTTCAAAAAAAATTAGATAAAATAATTATGATGTATGATATGCAGTTCTTTAACAAATATT